CAAAACCCCAAAACCCCAAAACCCCAAGATTGCTAATATATCTAAAATTTGCAGTTTAAAAATATAAATTTAAAAATGACATTGATAAAATCAGCTAAAAATTTTATACGCTAATTTGATATCTACGGTCACGAAATAAAACTGCTTTATAAAGGAAAAGAGACAAAGTAGACTATTCCAGGAGCACTGATGTCAATAATTTCGTGTTTCTTTTTAATGTGGTATTTTATACTGTAGCTGATTGCCATATTTTAAAACAATAGCTCTATAAAGTCTTCTTAGAAATTTCTTGATTCTACAAGAGACTAAATCAGACTGAATATTTAAAATTTTGACTTCGGTTTGTTCGTTATATCACCATTTGAAGGGTACCCGAATTCTTATGAAAATATATACAGATACGTTAATGTGACAGCTTCATATGAAGTAGAATCCTATGAATACGTAAACTAAAATGGAGATACTTATTATGACTTGTTTTCAAAACAATTAAAGTTAGTGAAATGTAATGAAAACAGATTATTTGGAAGTCACCTTCTCAAAGATAGACTTAAAAGTTTTGAGTATGATGAGTCTTTCTGCCTTGATGAAAAGTTCGAAATAGATTTGAAAGGAAAATCTAATTTCCTAGCATTTTCAATAAGTAGTTGCGATTAAGCTTATCTGAGTAGCAAATTCCCAGGATCATAATGTGAAAAAAATACAACTAAAATTAAATAATTCCTAGGTGATGCATATGTATTTAGTATGAGTATAGAATAATACTTTGACACTGAGGATTTCAGTGAAAATCCAATTAAAGTAAATGTAAATAGTGAAATATTTAGTTTTTACTTCGATCAGACCAAAGTAGCATCATATGATGTTTAAAACGGAGTGGCAAAGGTAACTGATTCCTACCTGCATGAAGGACTTTCATATGAAGAGTATGGATTTCTTTAAACAAAATTATAATTTCTAGGAGGTTATGATATGCCACTAGGAACAAGTATAAAAGATTACATAGTCATAAGATTTGAAATGAGTAATTCATTTTAGGTAATAGAAAGACAGGTTGACAATGTTGTTTAGGCTCTATCTAATACTGGAGGACTGGGTGGAATCATGCTGTTTATTGTAAAATTTCTAATAAATCCGCTGCAAGAATTCCTGTTCTACTAAAGTTTATTAAAGAAAACATATTTAATAGAGAAGTAAAAAATAAAGAAGAATGAAGATTTGGATAAATAAAGCGGATATAAGCCATAAAAATCTTTTTAGTCCTAAAATTCTAAGAATACTGTTTAAGATTCTGATGAAGAAAAGATTGAGTTAGATTCTGATGATTTTGAAAAGTTTTTAAAGCTGATATATTGATTAAAGGATAGAGTACCTTTCATTTATACTACCACAGTCGCATTTTGGCAGCTATTTATGAAGTATTTATGCTGCAGAAGAAATTAATACTAAAGAGGATTATTCCTATTTGGGAAAGAAAAAGTTTAAAATTAAATTGATATTTCTGTGATATTGAAGGATTTAAGATCTTTTAAGATGATAAACAGCGTTTTACTTCTGAAATTCCAAAGGAAACTCATTCCTTACTTCAAGAAGTATCTTTTGACATAAATGTATGAAAGGCATTTATTTAAGGAAAAGGAAGATAAATAACTTAATCCTAGTGAGAAGTAAATTCTCAATTCAGTATCTGCTTTAATGATAGAGCTCTTTTCAGATGCAAAGAAACCCCAGAATCATTATAATCAGACCGTAATAAATAGTCTATTTCTCAAGAACAGAGAACAGCAGTCAAAGACTTTAAAGTAGCAGATGTATACTGCTATTCTGAGATCTTTTATCTCTCAAAAATTAGTATCTAGGAATCATATCAAGAAGTAATTTGATTCACAGTAAAACATAGGAGACCTCAACGCTGGCAGTAATAGTTAATCTAAGTATGCATCTGAAATAATTTAAAAGCAAGATGATGCCACTTAGCTATAACTAAATTAACAATATAATCAAAACTAGGTTTAGGATTCAGAGTCATACTTGGACACCGAAAGACAAGAACTTTAGAGATAAAATGCTTTTGTTGAATTTAGCTCAGGAAAATTTGGAGGACTACGAGATTAGTTAGCTCAATTATCTTAGGAAAAGTAGGATGTATCTAACTTTTAAGTAAATATGAATAATTAATCGATGATTACATACAGTGTAATTAATGACATAGAGTAAAATGAGATAGACTTTGATGAGAAATTGTCTGAATCCTAAGTTAAAACATAAAGGATTGCTTCACCACAGGCATTTCATTTGAAATATCTTAATCATTCAAATTTTTGAGGGATCAATAAAGTTAATAAACGAACAATTAATTGATGTAACTAATATTTTTCATGACTATTCTATTTATACAAATTTAGATTATCGGGGTTTTGGGGTTTTGGGGTTTTGGGGTTTTGGGG